GCGAACATCAGCATGCTCTTTGAAGGAATTCCCAATCACAGTGGGAGTGCACTAATTCTCCGCGCTTTCCCCGGTCCCTTCGTGGTCGTCGTGTATGCCATTTCACAGGACCTTCGAAAGCTGACTCCTTGCCGCTTCTCTGCGCTGACGATGTGGTGCTCCATTGTGAGGATAAGAAGAATCTCGAACTACTGGTGCAAGCTCAGTCTGAGTGCTTGGCGGACTAAGATTGAACCTGAAAACCGAGTACTTGGCAACCGCCTTGAATGAATGCGGCTCCCATAGAGTCGATTGTAACGAGCTGGCCTATGTGGCGCTCCTATGACTGGCATTTTTCGAGACAAGACGATACCAGAACGCCTTAAATTGATGGTGGTCTTTAGAACTGTGATTGGGTCTGTCGCGATGTGCGGCGCAAAATACTTTCCTGCGACCAAAGAAGGTAAAGGCCGCCTAGGAGTGATGTTGATGAAATGTTGCGCTGTATGGCTGATGTCAGGCGTATGGAACGCATTCGTAATGACGACATACGCAAGAGATCTGATGTAATTCCGTGGCCGAGAAAATGCGCGAATCTTGTTTCTATAATGCGCACATACACTGCGTGCCAATTCTGACACCCTCCAAAAGACTGGTCTTAAGCTCGAGGTGCCCGGAAAGCGACCTATGCCCCCTCCCCTTCCGAAAAAAAAACAGTGTTAGCTCTACGTGTTGCATACGGACGTGAACATTGTTGGCACCCATACCGACCAGGCAGTCACAGGGAGAAGTGGCGTCACAAAATTAAAGAGAGGGACCCTGCGGAATAGACTGCTTCAGTGAAACGTTTGTAGCAGTTTTGAAATTTTGTGCTGAAGTGGTTGTTAGGTGAAAGACTTTATTGGAAACATCCTGACATTTCGACAGGATCCTCATCCTCAAAAGCTAGTCCACTACCACAGCGATTGAAACGATGCCATTAGCTGTTAGTTGTACTTAGTAAGTGGTCAGTAGCGCAAGTTAAAAACTGCAATAATTACAATAAAGAAAAGGTTTTGTGGAAAAAGAAGCTGGACACGTTTTTATAACGTTTTCAACGTTCGCGCACAATCTCTGAATGACTGCGAACATCCGAAATGGGTATCCGCTATTCCAGTATTCGATATCGCCTCATCATTTCTTTTTCTTCTCTTATTTGGGAATAGACGGCGATCGGATGGGGGGGGGGGGGGGGGGCGGGGCGATCGGATGGGGGGGGGGGCGCTTGCAGCATAATTTTATGCAGATGACGAAGTGACGTGCCCTGATCATTACCGTCGCGGCGCGCTTTCAAGAGACTAGATTGAAGATTTATTGCATGTGGGTCAACACATGAGAAATGAGCAATGCGTTCCTAATGTAAAACTACGTGCTAGTGACTGAATTGTCTCACTTGTACAGTTGCCGACCAGTTCTCGCACGAAGTGGAGGTGGTGTAGTGGCAAGTTTTACGCTTACCGTCCGAGACCAAATCCCGTATTGGCTCATGCCTAGGCCTTCCGGGGACGTTGAACTGGTCCCAGATTTGTCTGGGAGGACAAGTACATCGGCTGGTCTCCGCAAGTCACTTTATAGGTCACATCTCATAAAAAAAGACCATTACGATCCTGGGAGTAAATCCTGAGATGGGAGTAGAATGCGTGCCGCTTCGGAAAAGGGATTGATTAAGCAGCTTTCAGACTTCGGAACTGCAGCGCTTCGGCTGCGCGTTCGGCGCAATCGATACGCATGCTTTTGACGTCGCGTCGATGCGTGGATCGCGTCGAACGCGCGGCCGAAGCCTGAACGCTGCCCTAGCGGCAACGGATTAAACTTTAGACTTCCTTGCACATGACAGGGAACGTCCTCGAAGGTCAAGTAGATCTGCAGGATTCGGTCCATCTTCAAGAGTACACCTTGATATTTTTCTGACGATCACACCGGCGACCACTCAGTGTGGGTGCATGACATAATCTGCTCCGCACCCCACGACCTAACCAATAATTTTTTCTTGATCTAGGCTCGTCAGCTGGGGAACACTGGGAAAATAGGGTATGGTTGTGGTCAGAGGGTTTTCAGTTTGGGTGTGCGAGTTGTGCCAAGAAAGTAATACAGTGCTCCGGGGAGGACTCTCAGGATGACGCGAGCCCCGAAAAGGGGCTCGTGGAGGCTCTGAAGCACCCCCAAGCTGAGGCAAGCATTACATCTCGGGAGATCGCTCAGTCCGTAAAACCTCCCACCAGGAT